CTTCCTTTTTATTTCTTCTCAAGACTTTCAATGATTTTTAGCATCAGAGTGGATTACTCATAGAACACTGTCTACACACACACGTTTATTTCCTCCCCCCCACACGATGATCACAACCTAAACATTTCATGACAAGTATCTGGTCCACCTACGGGACTTTAAATAAAAGATCTTTTTCTTTAGTAATCACTCTGAACTTCTAATTCACCTCACTAATACCCTATTATAATAATTCTTTGACCTCATCAAACCTCCAATCTATTCACCAATACCTTCTTATCATTTTCCCAAATCCTGGATGGATCTAACTACATACCTTCTTTACTGTGTGTGTGTGTGTGTGTGTGTGTGTGTGTGTGTGTGTGTGTGTGTACAGGGTCTCACTATACAGCTTGGATTCATAGTGATCCTCCTGTTTTCTTCCTCCCTAGTACTGGGACGCCTGGACTACCTTCTTTACTTTTAATCCAACATAGCTAACAGTTGTTAGAGAAAACCATGCAAGTAGGCTTGTTGGTTGTATTTTGATTGCAAGTTTGAGCCCTGTTGGGGCAACCTAGAAACTGAGAGAAACTGTCTCAAAATTAAAAACAGTACATGGGGTAATGATGTCACTCACTACAAATGGTCTGGGTTTAATTTCCAGTACTCATAAAAATACTTATGACTAATAATGGTACTCAACCTTGCTTAGAAGTTTACTTGTATTCATATAGTAAATTTGATTCTTAGCCTAATATGACAATTTCACAATGTTTTCTTTTTACCCCTAAACTGAGCTAATAACTTGGCATAAAATTTAATTGAAAAAAATCATGCTCTTACCACCAAAAGTATAAACCTATAACACTATATATTCTGTTTTCTTCTCCTGTTAAGATGAGAGCAGTACTGCTGCTCTTCCTCTCAAAGGCAATGCCTCTGTGTGGAAGCCCAAACACCTTTAGTGCCCCCTTGTCTTTATGACACCATGTCGCCCTTCTGGCTGTCTTAGCATCTGTTTCCTTCTTAGTCTCCACTGCTGGCTCCTTTCTCTACTCAGTGCTTGGTCCCAAGCAATAGTCTTGCTCTTTCTATGCTTCTTCCTTAAGTGATTTTATTTAATCTGATGGTTTTAAATATCACTAACATCCCCTCAACTCCCAATTTAATATGTGATATTTCTACTTGGTTATTAATAGCAATCTCTAACTTAACAAAAATCTATTTTTTTTCAAAACCTGAAAGTTATTCTTCACTTCTCTTTTACCCTTGTTCTACCAATCTGTCCATTAATAAATCCATTGATTCTACCTTTTGTTTTTTACAGCCTCTTATTCAAATTACTTTCATCTCTTGTCTGGATTATTGCAACAACCTTCTTTAGTAGTCTCCCTGCTTCTACATTTGCCTTTGATAATCCATCCTCCCCACAAAGTGATCTTTTAAAATACAATTTATTTCATATCACTTATATGCTTATAGCTCTTTGATGGCTTCTATGATTAAAAAAAAAAAAAAACCCACAAAAACAAAAACTTGTAAGGGCTGGCCAGATAGTTCAGTGGACTAAAGCGCCTGCTTAGGCAGAGCACAGGGCCAGGGTTCGATCCCCAGCGTGCTGTGCTGGCTCCGCCCCCTGGGGTGTGCTGAGATGGTGATGGAGACTGGGCGTGGAGGCGCATGCCTGTAATCCCAGTGCTTGGGGGGCTGAAAACAGGAGAATCACTATGAGTCCGAACTACGTAGTGAGACCCTATAACCCTGTACTAAATACATTAAAAAAAAAAAAAAAAAAAAAAAAAACAACAACAACAAAACCAAAAACCAAACCAAAACATAACAAAACACTTCTTTTCCAGAGACTTCAAGATCCTATGTGATATAGCCCTTGCTTATCTTTTTGGCCTCTATTTTCTCCTTCTTTACAATATATGTTACAGCCATAGAGGGTTCTTTCTAGCCCTCAGACATGCAGAGCTCTTCCTTTTTTCAAGGCCTGTACTCTAGTATTTCCTCTGCTTGGAGGCGTTCAATCCTAATTATTATGTTTTTGGCTTTCTTGTAATTCAAAAGTGATTTTAAATATTACCTCCTCAGAGAGGTTCTCCCTATGTAAAGTTGCTCCTCTCCTCCCACAGATACAGCTTACACTCTTTCCTTGATAGCTCTCTTGATGTTTGTTTACTGCTCACCCTGTCTCTTTCTGGAGAGTTCCTTGAGGGCAGGTACCTCGTCTTTCCTGCCACACTACGTACCCCACCCCCATTGGGCACAACAGTTCTTGCCATATTGAAGGCATTCACTAAACATCTGTTCTTTGAAAATATTAAGCAACTGAATTATTAATTACACATATATTTAGGTTGCAGTGACAAATGCTAACAGATGCCAACAACTGGTAACTGTGCGTTTTGGGAAAAGAACATTATTTTGAGCTTTGTTTGGGAATGAATCACACAATTGAGAAAGGTTTGCTGTTATGCACTAATTATACATAACTTCTAGTCTTGTCTTTTTTGTGTTGTACTGGGGATTGAACCGAGTACTACTATATGCAGATGCTAGGAAAGCATTCTATCACTGAGTTGCATCTTCAGCCCTTATTATTATTATTTTAAATTTTAAGACAGGGCTTTGCTAAATTGCCCACACTGGCCTCGTCCCTGTGATCCTTCTCCTTTAGTTTCCAAGCAATAGGAATTACAAGTGTGTGCCACCCCACCTGATTTATTGTTTCATTTTAGCATTAAGCAGCTAATTTCTTCTTCAGTCATCCTTATATGAAATTCATAAGCAAATTAACATTTTTCTTTTATCTAATTAAAAGTCTCAAGACTATAGAGTTGTTTTTCAAAAAACTTAGACAGGTGAATCACTTGGAATGGTTTTCATTCTTCTCACTTGGCTAACTTTTTTTTAAGACAAGATCTGGCTATGTAACACAGGCTGGCTTTGAATTCCTTATGTAGCACAGGCTGGCCTTGAACTTGAGGTTCTCCGGCTTCAGCCTCCTGTGTGCTGTGATTACAGGCCTGCACTGCCATGCCCAGCTGATGTTTCTGAATCTTGATGCTAAGGTCCTTAAACATTTCATCAAAGTGAATGCACTTTAACAGCAGATGTTTAGCCTTTCTATCTTGTATTTTTAAAAGATGACTTTTTTTCAAATTGCAGAATTTTTTTTTAAAAAGGGAAAAGGCAAAAAATTTATTTCCTCATATAAAAGAGTAATCTATTAACCTTAAAATGTTTTCCCCTTTCAGAAATTCATTTACATATAAAACCATATGTCTAAAGTTATTAGACTGTCATTAGTGAAATAATGTCAACGGCAAAATTTTCACACTACCAGTATGGTTCAGCTACATATGTTAGGTTCCTTATTATATATAGTCCAAATAAAAAGAAAATAAGAATGTAATTTTTAAAAAAAATTTTATTTATTTGTGTGTGTGTGTGTGTGTGTGGCCAGCTCAGCCCACCAGGGGGCGGGGCTGG